TCTCATTTTTTACCGTTAAAATTCGGTTCATATTGATTAAACTCATTATGCCCTAGAATGGAAAATGGAGAAAACATCCAAACAACCCAAACCAATCATACATAATCATAGACATTGATAGAATAACGACATTTCACACCCTTACCTTGGTTAAATCGATGCTTGAGAGTTGTTCTTGAGCTTTTCCAACTTTTCCTTCTTCTCCTTCTCTTTTCTCCTCTTTCTCCTTCTTTCTCTATTCTTTCTCTATTCTTTCTCTTATATTTCCTTCTTATCTCTTTTCTTTCCACTTTTCCTTTATAAGCCTTTCCATTCTATTTCCTTACATATATCCTCCTCTCAAATATCTACCGAAAATTCCAATAATTAAAATCATCAAAATAAATCAATTAATTAACATGAATAATTAATTATTGAAAAATTGGGTTGTTATAGCATCTCTGGACGCATCTGTTGTCTCATTGAATAACGCTCCAAATGAGTGTCACCCCATGTTTTTCTATTTTATTCCAGAGATGCATCTCCGGTCAAATCCAAAAACACTTGTTGATTGTTGAGCATCCTAGTGGCTTTCCCAGAAGTTCATTTTCGGAGTTTTGAAGCATGAGTTTAAAAACCTGTCACATTTGCATGTCAGACATTTTTGTAGATGCATTTCTAGAAATATCAAATGAGATTTTTAATAAAATAGCATCTTGGATCATCAGACCTGATATCCATTTTTGCTCAAAACCCTTATGTTACCAATCAAGATTGTCATTGTAAACGTTCATTCTTGTGTTTATTTACACCAAAAGGAGCAAAATAAGTTGGAATTCAAGGTAAAAATCATTTATTTTAATCATCATTGCTCACATTAATCTTATTTTATAGTTGAAAACTTACGTTGAATCCATAAATGTATTTTTGGATTATGTATGAACTCATCCGGAAATTCATTTATAGAGTTTGTCTATTTTCATTTGCCACCTATCTATTTTCAATTTCATCTATATTTTAATATTTTATATTATTGTTTTCATTAGATATGATGCATCCCGATGTTTTCCCCAAACCTATTGTGTCTCTGAATGCCAAACGTGTTGTTCTGAAGGAGGTAGATGTTGGAAACCAATTTATAAATGGACAAGGTTTGAATTCCATTATCATATGCTCTAATGGATTCGTACGGAAGCATCCGAATTGGGGTTTGGTGTTGTAATTAGAAGGTCCGATAATGGTTCGGATAGAAGAGTTGCATTTGTGACAATGACATGTGAAATAAGTGGGAAGTATAAAACTCCTTTATGGAAATTCAGACAAGATGACACTGATTTGAAAAAATGTGAGTGATCCTTTAAGTTGTGTGGTTATTTGTTAACAAATAACAAATGTATATTTAATGTGGTATATGGATTACATAACCATGACATGTGTGAAAAGTTAGTCAGATATCCAATTGCATGTCGCCTCGTGCTAGAAGAAAAGAAATATTTTCATACATGACATTGAATATGGTGCAACCAAAAAATATATATACTTGCAACTTTGAAACGTAAAAGATCCAGAAATATCTCAAATATCAAGCAAGTCTACAGTGATAATCATTTATTTAACGTGTAATACCAATAAGTACAAACTTCCACTATTGAAAATTGTTGGTGTTAACTCTACTAAGAAGACTTATTCTGTTGGGTTTGCATTTCTAGAGATCGAAAAAGAGAAAAATATTCCTTGGGCTTTAGAGGTGTGTCGGGTAATGTTGAAGGACCAAGAAGACATGTTGAAAGTAATTGTTATCGACCGCGATACTGCTTTGACGAATTTGGTTGAAAAAGTATTTCCTACTTCTTATGCATTACTTTGAATGTATCACATAACAAAGAATGTGAGAAGTCTGGTTAACCCCGTGATAGGAACGAAATAGATAAAGTTCAAAGACAGAAAAAAAGGTCAAGGGGCATGATAGTGAAAAGAATAATAGATGGATGGAATGTTATAATAAATTCTTCTACAAAAGAGTTATATGATGATGTTGTTATACATTTCAAGAAGATTTGTGAGAAATGTCCAGATTTGTTGAAATATGTTGAAAGTACAATTATGGACCAAGTGGAGGAGGAAATTGTTTGTGCTTGGACCGATCAGATTAGACATCTTAGAAATACAACAACTAACCGAGTTGAGTCTACCCATGTTATATTGAAGAATTTGTTGAGAAATAGTAAGAGTGACTTGTGTAGAGATTGGGACTCTATGAACCAAATGATCCAAAATAAGTATAATGAGATGCAGACATCATTTGGTCACAGCGTTGGAACACAAATTCAAAGATAACAATCTTTATTCTCGGTTGGTTGGCAACATATCTCAAGTAAGACTGAATTATAAGAATGTGAAACTTGATAGCCCAATAGGAATGGATGATGTTTGCACTCACTGAAAAAGACTCAGGTTTGATGATAATGGTGTCATGAAATAAGGTAAATCGAATATCTCTATCTTGATCAAATAGGAAGTGATACAAGAGAGATTTTTGAAAGTCAATGACAATATGAAACTCCCCATTAAAGAGCAATTCAGGAAGATTGTTTATCCATAAACCAAAAACTTGAAACCACCCTCTCAACCGGTAAAAACAAAAGGTTCTCCAGAGAAGGTCAAACCAACACTGAGTGACAATTCAACGATGTGATCTCCTTTCTCTTTTGAACATGTTGACAAACTTTTTCCCGATTCTCCGGCTCCAAAATCTCAACAAAAAAAATGTTTTCAAAGGAGCTCGTATTAGCAAACTACCACCTTCCCCGCCTCCACCAAAAAGTTTATTCATTGATGAGATGTCGATTTTTATGGACAAATACATTGAACAGATCATCAGTGTTTATGGTGACTGTAACTGCGGTTTTCGAGATGTTTCTACATTGCTCAGTAAAAGAGAAGAGGATCACACACTTAACCATCATTAACTTATCCAAGAGTTGAGGGGAGGAGTCATAACAAATCATACACACGACTATACGAGAAAACAAATTTATTCAATTTATAAATCTCTTATTCCTTGCATTAGTGGACCGACACCGAAGGATAAATGGATGCACTTCTCTGAAATGGGTCATCTCATAGAAAGTGCGCATGCAAGAGTGTGTATTGATCTTACAAGATACAGTGTTTCAAAAACATTTTTTCATTGACACTTCCCCGCCTCAAAATATAAATGACCATATTATGTGTTTTGGTGGATTTCAAATTCGCAACACTTTGCTAAAGTTTATTTGAAACTGGGATGCCCTATACCACTTACAACACATAATGGACAGCTCATTCAACAGCAAAAGTTGATACTTGACTGAACCATGTTGTGGAAAAGATGCAAAAGTTCACCAAATTGAGCGAGATTGAAAAGGAATCAAATAAACAAAAGTCAAAGGTTGTACCACTCATAGATATAGATTTAGTCAGTGACACGTATTTCAATTCATTTTAGTTTTTATTCGACAATGTATTGTATGTAATCTTGTATTAATATTAATTATGTCTAATATATATACATTTTTAAATATTTTAATATATGTTTAAGTGCAAGTAAAAAATTATGCATTTTAATACCAGTTCTATTGCACTCTGTTCCAGAGTTTTATTCTATACAGAGTGGTTCTGAAAATACATCTTTGAAATAACAGTGTAGTGTTCTACTAGAGATGCACCTCTGAAACATCCTCTGGAACAAGATAGAATTTCTAAGATACATATTTGTCTAGTACTACTATAAGTATGTGGCTCTTGGCTAATGTTTCATACACGTTATACCAGAATGAATATCAATTAGCATGTCGCTGAGTATATCTCTTTTGCATATTTGAAATGCATATTGCATAATCTCCAACCATGAATATCGATTAGCATGTCGTTGAATATATCTCTTTTGCATATTTGAAATGCATATTGCATAATCTCCAACCATACTCCAACAATTGAAAAATTGTGAAGCTCAAGTAATGTTCATCGTCGATTGTCAACGAGTGGAGGATTGAGCTCATCAACTTTGAGTTACAGACAGATGCAGATTTAAGGATTATGTGAAATACTTTTCCGTTTTAAAAAAAAATTCAATCAAAATGGATACGACAATTTCAAGATTGATCGTAGATATTATGATGTTAAAACATTCACCCGAATATTGAAATGTAATGATCGATTTATGTTAACAATTACTTATGTAATGTTTCGTCTTTTATGTTATCAATGCTAATTTTATTTCTCATTCTACATTGCAAATACATTTTCGTATCAAAGACACATTTCAAAAAAACAAACTAGACAAAAATCTAAAGTCAATATAAATTGTGTTTGAAATGCTTCCCCAGATACATCTTTAAATTATAGTGACATTTTGACTTTTTTTGCAAGGATGTCGTAATATATAAAATTCTTTAAGTACTTCCCAAATTATTTTTATGAATTTCTAAAAATTTCATTACTGATATACATCTTTAAATTATAGTAACATTTTGACTTTTTCACGAGGATGTCTTAATGTATAAAATTCTTTAAGTACTTCCCAAATTACTTTTATTGAATTTCTAAAAATTTCTTATAATGAAATGCTACTTGCTGAATGACACCAAGATAATCATACCTTTGAAAGTTTATCTTATTCTTCTAAAGCTTTTAACCAAACTTTAGTAAAAAGTAGAATAGTTACATTGGTAAGTTTTACTACAACATAGTGTAACGAAATGAACAAAATATATTATTATTATTATTATTATGTTGTTGTAATAATCCAGTAGTATGCCTAACTATACCCCTTCTACTCATAATATATTGGGTTCATAATTAGCACCTAGTGCAATTTTCCAGGATATCAAAATTGAAAATCCATAAATCGAACACGGTTGGACAGAGCTTCCAAGTTCCAATGTACTAAAATACCTACTTGTTCTAATGACATCTATTTATTTAATATTACAACAATATGTACCGGCTAGAAAATACAATAAAATAATTTGAAAAAATTGTTAATGGTTAAACAAACACCTCCTAATGGATACTGCTAACTCTGTAACCCTTCCACGATGAAAGATGGATACACATACAGCAAGACAAACAACAACCGAAACAAGTACAAAAATAGTTGGTCGAGAGGTCAAGACTCCCCGGGTAAGATTTCTATTAGGCAAGTCTTCCATATTCATTATAATATCCCTTTTCAAAAGTGGTACCTTATGATTTTTTTTATCAAAAGCAAGACTTCTCAGAACTCCCAACTCTGGATCTGTATTAAAAAGGAGACCCTGGAAAGCAACAATAATCAACGTATAAAATAAGATACATGTTAATTATGATAAAAGTGTTAATATTACCTAAACCTAAAAGCTAAAAACTAATTCATGTCATTGCCATGGGAATGAAACAAACAAAATTAATAGCTCTAACCTGACTATTAACTTCATCAACCGATAACTTGTCGTCTTGAGAACTGCACTGGGCAGGTTTAAAGCCTTCCCTTTTGGAGTGCAAAACTATACTTCCACCTTTCTGACAAATAGCATCTCTGGCATTATGCATGCACTTCAGTAGCTGGACCATGTCAACATCATTTGTATTGGATTTTATGCTTTCTGTTAAAATTATCAAATTTGGCAATATTTTTCCCAAAATGATAGTTGAATCATTGCTTATTAGAAAATCCAACAGATGGCAATATCTTTGAATCTGTGAAGCAGATACCATTCTGTCAAAAATTTCTGAAGTCGGATCCTTAAGTAACCATGCTATATCTACAAGCAAGTCTGATGATGATGTATGAATATGTACAAAAGCTTTGCATGAGCTACAAATAGAACCACCAGACGCAGACCGAAATTGTTTAGAAAGGAGAGATGCATCTTGTTTTTGTTGCAATATCTTCATTTCAGTGCAAATTTCTTTATCCCCAATAAGTACAGGAATAAAGTTTGATAAACCAGACTCATTCTCAACCTATAAAAAGGAAAGAAAATAAAATTAAACATGCACAGGTAACAAATATGAAGTGGTACACAATTTTCCATGAAATTTAATCAGAGTTTCAAATATATCTACCTCCAAAATCACATCAAATCAAAAGGTTCCAACAATTTATCTAGATCTAACATTACAATCATCAAGAAAATTCTTACTGTAATTTTTAAGATCGAGTACAATTCAATTACGACATCGCCAAACCCAAATTCAATAGTTTCCATGATAACAACGGCATTTAGTCAAAGAGCTTCATTCGATGAATTTTATTTGCTTTAGATAGGAATAAATTAGTAAATGAAAAGAAACAATAAAATATCAGTGCAGAATTCAAAACCAGTAAGACTTTTTATGGATATGCTAGAACTTTGCATGTTGGATTATGATTATCTATTAATGCATTGAAATTAATTTATCAGAACAACAACAGTGGCAACAACAACAGTAGCAGCAACAACATTAGCACCAACAATAACCAAGTCTTATTCCACTAAGTGGGGTCGGCTACATGGACAACTTCTGCCATAATTTTCTATCCACCATGCTTCTATCCAAATCATTAATCTCGAGATATTTCTTAATAACTTCTCTTATAGTTTTTCTAGGTCTTCCTATACCACTAACTGTTTAACTTCTCTTATCAGATAAAAAAATAACAAAATATAGAAAGGAAATTGCCAGCAAAAATATGACACTTCCAAATTAAACCAAATACTTACGCTCAAAGTACTCAATTGTGCCCATTAAAACTCCAATATTCCTCAATTTGTTAAATGATTTTCTAGAACAAAATGCTAAAATATTGTAACATAGAAAATTTATTTGCAAATAATGCATATGAAATTAACAAATCTAAAAGAAAGCATGCCAAAAGTATTGGCCAGCGTAAAGTGATCACAACGTGCTGTGAAACATAGCAAACAGAATAAAAAATTGAGGTCAGTGCATAGTTAAGGAAGCAAAAAGATGCCAATAACTACCTCAATAAATGCAGGGCCCATGAGATTTTCCTCAATATGAGGGACACATATCTTATATAACTGATTGCCAAAAGCACAAGAAATACTGTCTTCAGTCCAGTTATGTGAAGACGGAACGCAATACTCGTACTTCATATACTTTCCATAAAAAGATACAAGAAACCTGCCATTATTATAACCTCATTACAGTCAGCAGTACATTGATAAGTGAACCAAAATATAAACTAGCCAAACTAATAAGTTACATTTGAAAATAATCATAAACATGTAACGACTAAAAATTCCGAGTGCCACCAAAAAGATTAATAACAAAAGGTAGCACCGACTAAACTGTGCAGCTAATATGGGGATGCAACCCTATTAAGGATATTCAATTCCTAAATAAAATATATACATAAGGAAGCAGTAATTCAGTGTTTTACCAAATCAAGTATGTAGTACATAAGGGTATTATACTTAAATGAGATCCAAACCCCAGATTAGTATGTCTTATGGCCGGATACCGAGTTCTTAAAAAAATGATATGTTAATTAGAGGTCAGGCTTCATTAAATTAATAGGTATTCTCTACATTCATATACCAACGAATAGAGTATGTAGCTAAACAATGATTAATTATATTTAAATATAACTATTATTATTTTTAAATGTCTATCCCCGCCCGGGCCCCTTAATTTGCTCGCAGAAGGAAAGTATTTCTTGCTCTCCTCTCTCCCCCGTCTTTCACCAAGAAAACCTGATTCGATTGTGTTTCCCCCCTTCTCTTTTCCCATGGTAAATTCATTTCTCTTCTTTTTTGTGCATTGGGAGAAAAGAAACTATCCCCCTTCCTCTTTCCCTTTCCATCCCATGGTAAAATCTTGTAGCCTCTTTGTCTAATGTTAGAAGTCTTCACCTCTCTGTTTTCTTTTGAACATATTAGAGCCATAGCATGCTTAAGAGAATAGTCACTGCCCTCTCTTTTTTCCTTAAAAATTAAAATATAGTCCCAATACATGTTTTGCAGTGATCTTATAACAGAAGCAGCGGAACTAGAATGTGCATCCTATATCACAAATTTTACAAAGGTGCAGCAAATCTGGTAAAACTTACAAAGTGTTAGATAACCTCAAGACAATGCAATCAGTATGAAATTACGAATCTAAATTCCAATCAATCACAAAACAATGTATCATGTTGGTCATTACTTTTTTTCCATCGATCAATTATATGTGAGCCTAGAGTTCTTTTCAAAGTTAATAGAATGGTTTATACTTTAGATTCAGTGAGAAATGCTGCAATATCACTACTCGGTCATAACATTCAACATCACCTTTCCATCCCTTTCTGTTGGGAATTTGAGTGACAATTGGATTCCAAATAGACTGTTACCGTAGCAGCTGCCCAAGTCCATGGACTAGAAGGTTTATGCTGGAATAATTAGGGAGAGAATGGAAACATCCACCTGGCAGGGGAGTGAGAGAAGGGGGAAATCATACAGCGGGATTCTAATATATGACGGATTGAGAAAGCTATCTAGAAAAATCAGTTAGATACAGACAGAGTAGGAGCTCAACTATAGGCAATATGGATATTCATTCCTTTAATATTTTCATTTCAGGAATAATATAAACACAGTTCCATTACTAAGTTGTTTTTTCTATTAAGTGCCTTTGTGTGGCTCTAGTTTCTATCACTCTCCTTATGACCTGTCATGTTTTCACAGCCAAAAATATATACCATGCACAAATGCAAATAAATATGCTTTCATATGTCGAATGAATATGGCAAAAATCTGCTTTAAATAATGTTTAGAAGAGGTGAAACTACGTACCGAAACTTAGGCTGCAGCAAGTTACTTCCACAAGCATAAAATTCCATGGGTTTCCCTGCTTCAAAGCATGTGGGGTGAATGTAATGAAGCTTAGGTGCCTGCGTGTTTACCTCGACTTTTGTCACAGAACTTCCATCTGTAATCATTGAAAGGTACTAGCTAATTTAAACAAATTGAAAGCTTCCAAACTCGAAATTTAAAGCATATAACTCAACAACAAAAACTTGTATTAATTATAAAATACAATTCATGAATCAATCGTTCAATTTGTTTCATAAGAATCAGAAACACAGTGCTCCATATCTCTGAGATGGAGCATCAACACACTAAAGAGATAATCATAACTCGTAACGATCAGGTTCTAAAATACTCTTCAAGAGAAACGACTCAAATAGTTTAGGGGAAGAGTGAACCCAAAATAAGAAGGAAACAAAAAAACAGAAGAGAAAATAAAACCTTTCATAACACGGAAGATCATGTCATTCAGATGAATTAGAGCGGTGCCTCTTCCAGATAGCATCTTTTTGGGAGCAACAAGATCACGTACATAATACATAGGGTCTTTGAGTAACTGGTTGATCCATAAGAGAAACAAAATTAAGTCATAAATCAAAAAGATAAAAAAATATTAACCAATCAAATTCAGTCAAAACTTGATAACGAGGTTTTAATTCTTTTTATTAGTTGATTAATAAAATTCCTGATTCATAGAGTGAGGGGGTGGAGAAATGTTACAGGTGGCACATAACGTATTGGAACGCAAACAAAACATCAAGCAAAACTAGCAACCGTGAGAATGAGCTTAACAAAGAACCATAAAGTCTAATATGGGGCACTTAACCAGAAAACATTCATTTTACACCCAACGGCCACTTAAGATACGGTACTAGAACTATAATGTCAAGAACATCAAGTCAAAATCTTACATTTATCCACATAATATTTGGCATTGCAATAAATATTGTCAGGATTGTACACCCAGGGCGGATATATCCCTCCAGCTCCACAGGCATACTTGCCAACCATTGGAATATCTGCAAAAACATTTGACAGCTAGTTAATCAGTCACTACTATGTAGATGGCAGAAAACTATGCCACAACCAAAATACTAAACTGTAATAAAAATGCTTTAAAATACTTGGAGCCGTAGCCTTCTAGGAAATTCCGCAGGATTCCAATCATAAAGCTTAAAAGAAACCCGACCTGTTTGGCACTACAACCAAACATTCAATCAGAAAACACCTATCACAATTTCTCACAAAAATAAACATGTGAAAGAAAAGCAATAAACACACAAGACAACGCACCATAGATGAATAATCATTCTTATTGTCACAATATGAAGGCGATTTGGAAAGATTGGAAACACCATTTCCAATATTTGCTTGTGTTTCAGCAGAAGCAACAAAGGACAGACCACTCTCACCATTAATATTCTGGGTCTCTGGAGTTGAAGACCCAATAGCAACCGGTTCTTCTTCATGATCCGGAGACACTCTTTTTTCAATATTCTCACTACTCAGATTCGAATAATCTGGCAACATGCATACACATCCAATGAATAAAAACCACATGCAAATCAATTTAGAACATGCTATCATATGCAAAAGCAAAAAAAAAAAAAAAAAAAAAAAAACCATTCAACCATTGACTTAACAGTTGACAAAGTGATAATGTGATGCTGATCCAGAATACAAACCAACCTATCCCTGTTTCTCCATCACAATTGGAATCATCATTCTGAGTAACAGTTTGAACTTCATGATCAACTGCTGCTGCAGAATCAGCAGGCTTTCTCCGCCTCCTAGTATTATGCCGCTCCAATTTCCTTCTACAACTCCTTTTACCTTCGTCAAAATCCGGTAAAACATGAAACCTGCCACATCAACAAATCAATATCATCATAACACCAATTGAAAGCATAAACACATCAAGATTCATAATAATCAACTTCAATCTTACTTTCCACACTGCTGACAGTATCTTTTCGCCTCGCCGTCAATAAGAACAGTAACAGCATTAGCACATCGCAAACAAACCCTATGCCGTCGATGATAGCCTTTAAGTTCAGAGATATCAACCTCACAACTCGGAACCTGACAACGCGCCGATGCAGACGCACGTGCAGCTCGAGCTCGTTTCTTACCTGGTAAACCATTATCTTCAAGCAACGCATCGAGTTCGGGACATGCACAAGGTACATGACCCGCGAGAAAGTTGGAGCAAGTAAGTCTCGGGTCACGTTTTCGGATCTTATCATTCTCCGGTGGATTAGGGTTAGGGTTTGGAATTGGAGTGAGGTGTGGAGGTTCGTTGTCGAGGTTTAAGGGAAGTGAGGCATCGTCGTCGAGATTGAAGTCGAGGAGGTAGCTTAGGTCCCAGACGGAGGAAAGATCTTCGGGAGGGTCCATCGGAGGGAGAATTGGTTGGGGTTTGGGTTCCATTGAGATTGGAATGGAAGTGAAATTGTTTGAGGGAGAGTGCGGTTGGTAGAGAGTGGTTGGATTTTTGGCGGAGAAGGTACGATACGGTGGTGGCTGGTCCTGGTTGTTGGGGTTTGTTTTTCCATGCCTACAGTGGGGTCATCGTGGCGACATTTTCAAGTTTTCTTTGTTGTCTTAACCACGCGCTATTCATCCTTTTCATCACACGCGTGCATTATTCAATTCACTGAATGTCGTCACATATCAGATGAGATGTGCTATATCCCTTTTAGACTTTATATGCCTTTCTTTTTTATTATGAAAGCGGCTATTTGGATTTTTTTATAATTCTATTAAATTTTTTTTAAAATACAACAACTTTTATACACTAAAAGATTTGTTTGAGAGTTGATTTTTAAGATTTTGTTTAGGGGTTTGGGATGAGAGGAGGAGAAAGTTTCCAAAGATGAATTTTTAAAAAAATATAAGAAAAATATTTGAAAAATACTCTACTTTAAAAATAAAAAATGTTTGAGATTTTTTAAAAGAATGATTTTATATACTGTATATATATAATGATACAATAGTAGTTATCATTATTATATTTTTTATTTTTAAAATACCAAAAATGTAAAATATAATTTGAAAATTTATGGAATCCTAGTTCAATATAAAATTTGAGTTTTATTAATTAGGGAATTTTTGATGTTATGAATAAAAACTAACCATTTATATTTTTTCAATCAAAATTTTTTTATTCTTTTGACTCAATTCTTCCATGTTTTTAAAGTTCTCTTCCCTTCCAAACTCTCAAACAGATCCTAAAACTTTGTTTTAAGGGAAGGAGAAATGAAGGATTTGAAGAAAGAAAAAAAGTTAAATATGAAAAAATTATTATTATTTTTTAAAATAAATATTTTTTTAAATAATAAAATATTATTTATCATTAATATATTTTTTAATTTTTAAATAGGCAAAATATTATTTTTCGTCCCTTAACTTTACCTCGGGTCCAGTTTGGTCTTTTAACTTAAAAAGGTGACAAGTTTGTCCTTTAACTTTTAAAATGGTGTCAATTGAATCATCGTTGTTAGTTGTCCTCAAACGTTTGTTCATTGTGAATACATGGCAGATGACTTGGCAAGTTTACTTCATCATCTTGTTTTGTTCTCCTTCCCATACAGTAACAGAAGTATTTTTTTTCGTTCTTCTTCCTCTCAATCCCAAATCCCAAAATCAAACCTAGGATTTTTGGCAAGCATGAAATTTGGTTGTTCGTCCTCCATGTTAAAACAGGAAAATGGAGATTTGGATGTTTGTAGTAGGTCACAATGGAAGCCCGTATGCCATTGTGGACATATGATTGTTCTTCAAATGGCAACTACTGTTAAGAATATGGGAAAATTTTTTCTAGGGTTGTCCAAATTATAAGGTATGCAAGGTTTTTTTTAATTTGTTAATAAGTTCTGTTTAAGTTTCATTTTGTAGGTAACCTCTAAACAATGAAAATTTCAATGAGGTATGCAAGCTGGGTTTCGTTTCTTTGGTTGGTTTTACGAGGAGGTGGGTGATGAGAATGAGCAATTTTGGATGTATAGGTTAGGTATGGTAACCAAGGGACTTGCTGAAGCAAAAAAGGACATTGAAAAAGTGATAATGGATAATGAAGAATTAGGGAAAAAGTTGATGATACTTGAAAGTGAAATGAAGAATATCATGAAGTGGATAAAGATTTTGAATTTGATGTTTGTGATGATTATCACTATATTAGTTGTTATAATGAGTTAGGGTATTTAGGTTTGTTTAGAAGAAGTATGTTATCGTTTGTTTGTAAGAGTTATCTTAAATTTTGTTTGTAAGAATTAACTTTAAGTTTTGTTAAAGATTGTAACTTTTGGATTGTATCAGTTTAACATGAATGCAATAGTTGGATTGTATCAGTTTAACATTAATGCAATAGTTTAACATGTATAAGTTCTGTTAAATATTACTTATGCAATATTTGGTCTGTTAAGAGAATGACCTGTAATTTTGAGCATGACCTGTAATTTTGTATTATTTGTTCAACACTGATTTTTAACACACAATGTTTGACACAACTTTTGTCACAGTTTATGACACAATCTGGTTCCAAACACAAAGTGGTTTCATAACAACTACACAATCTGGTTTCATAACAGCTATATAAAGTACATAAAGTGGTTCCATTTCATAACATGTCTATAAACTGATACATAAGTTCCACAAAATACATAAAATGATTTCAAACAACAGCAAAATACATAAACTGGTTCCAACTGAAAATACATTCCAAACTGATAAACTGATAGCCTAATTAAACATGACAGTCATTTCCAAAAGACATAAAATATATGAAATGATAGCCTAATTATATCTAGAGGTTCTTATTTGGTGTGGTCCTCTTTGTTGGAGTAGACCTCCTTGTTATTGGGCCAACAACATTCTTGGCAGCACTTAACCTAGTTGTAGGCCCAGGTGGTACAAAAGGTCTTGTTGGCTTCCTAACATATAGCTTTTGCATCATGCCCTTAGCAGGGTCATGTGTCTTCTTAGCAGGTTCATGTTGGCTTCCTAACATATAGCTTTTGCATCATGCCCTTGTTGTCTTTTATTGGTCTGAGACGAAGGTGTAAGTCAGGCATTGATCTTTGCCTCCAAGGTCATCAATTAATAGCTCTAAAAACCAAGTTCAGTTATCCTTGTTTTCACCCTCCACAACTGCATATGCTATGGGAAGCATCTGGTCATTAGGATCCCTCCCTGTGGAAGCCAAAATCTTCCCTCCATGCAACCCCTTGAGAAAGCACCCATCTAGACCTATTACATGTCTGCACAACTTAAAGTTTTCCTTACACACAACTGTTGCACCCCAAAATTTGCCCAACCTTTTTACCACTTGGTTTATGTTTCATTGCATTAGCATAGTATAGTTCTAGCATCTGCATAGCATAGCATCATTCATTTAACAGGGGATCAAGTGTGATACATGACAAGAGAAGCCTAACCAGAGGTATTATTCAAGCTTAAGAAGTTATCAGGGTCATCAGACAGAGGGTTGAGTTCTTGGAAAGTTTGAGTGCTTGTATGGGGCTCATCTCCTCACTTGGAGCCAGTTGAAGATCAGCAGTGGATTGTAAGGACTTGATCAAGGATAGAATGTGTGGGTGGAGCTCATTGAAGTGCCTTGAAGGTCATGTTGGAGCTCAATCAAGTCATTTTATCAAGTGCAAGAGCCACAGTTGAAGTGGATGTCACTAGGGTTTCATCTGGTTAATCCTAGGCCAAAATGAGCAATGGAAAGAGTATCAAAGTCTAACTCTAGGTCATTGAGATCATGAAATGAGATGTTTAGGCATATGAGAGATTGTTTCAAGATCAAGTTGAGAAGAATCAAGAGTGGTTGGAGTTGCTAAGTCAGGGTTCCTAGGGTAAAATCCCCTATTTAGTGCCATACTTCTAAGCCATGTAAGTCAAGATGCAAGTTTCATCTCCATTTTTGTCCAACATGAAACTTGTATATCATGCTATTAGCTTTAATTTGAGTACTAGAAGTCCTCCATTGGATTTATAGAACTCAAGTTATGGTCCAGACAAGTTACAGGTCCTCAGATGCATCTGAAATTTGTCTGTGAAAATCATCTGACTTCCAAGCTATTTTTGACCTAGAAGGAGGTTTCACCTGAACTTTTGGCCAACATGAAAGTTGTTCCTCATGCTATTATATTTCCAAATTGTATTAGAAGTCTTCCATATGATTTGTATAACTCAAGTTATGAGGTTTACAAGTTAGGGGTATTTTGGGAAAGTGAGATTATAGGCCATTTTCAATCATAGGTCAAAAATCTCCAACTTGCACTTGTCAAATGGATTTTTGTTCAACATGGAACTTGTTCAAAATGTGGTTTTTAGGTTAACCAAGTGATCATGGTGAATTTATTTGGCTCATATCAAATATTTGTGTGAAGTAGTTTGAATAAAGAAGAAATTCAAAGGCATTTTTGGTGGGAAATTGAAATAAATGATTATGGGTCCAAAACAAGTCAAATAACCACTCATTTTAATCAGAAACTATATTTTAAAGACATTGGCAATTGTGGATTTTTCATTTGAAGTATAATTCATGGTCTTTCATAAGGTTTCTTCACATAAAAGTTACATCACACAAATCATTCCTAAAGCCAAATTCAAGGCCCTAACCAAGCTGGATCCATTCAAGGAGGTTAGTGTATGATACCCAAAGCTTCCCAAGCAAGTTATTGAAGGAAATTGAGGGATGCCATAATCAAATTTTTAAAGGAAAGTTGGATTTAGATTTTTTGATTTTGGGTCTGGGCTGAGCTCTAGAAGCTTCTAAATCATTATATAAAGGTCTAGGAACTCATCAGAAACAAGGTTGGTGATTGATTGGGGCTGAGAGCAAAGATCACCATTGAAGCTTGAAGAAGAAAAGTGAAAGATCGAATTTCTGTTAGAGGCCATTTCAAGTGCAATTGAAGATTCAATCTTCTTCTAACATCATCACTGATTGGATCTGGAATGTTTTGGAGTAAGAATCAAGCCAGAAAACGCTTCAAATTGAAGCTTGAACTCAGGTTCTTACTTCTTGAAATTGCACCCAATTCTTGTGTTTTCAATGCATTAGAATCATGTGGTTAGGTTTACCTTAGGTCATAGATGATTTCTGGACAATTAATTTGATGATTAGTGACAACTTAAGCTTTGATCCGTTTTCGGTTAGGATGAAGATTTTTGATTCTTGGAGTTTTAGACTGTTTGATTAGGATATTTGTGTTCCTCGTAAAATTTCGTGCAACTTTGGTTCAAGAATCATTGCGATTGGTTGAGTATTGATGGAGATAGGGTCGTTCGAAATTGGCCGGAGAAGCTTCGTTCCGTCGTCGGCCAAGGAGTTGTTCGCGTGCAGGTCATAGAATTCAAGCGGAGAAGATGTAATCTCCAGCGTCTATTCGCGATGAAGAAGAAGACTCAGTCGTCCATCC